CTACTGTAAGATGGAAACCACGATACCTGCCCTCTTTTGTAAAATACTGTGCAAATTTCTATTTCCATTCTGTCTTTTATATGCTTTTATCCTCTTACATCTCACACAAATGATGCCATATGTTGGTGAAAGTAATTATTGTTCTATGTCTATCTGGTCCCAATCATTTGCTGCCTGCTTAACCCAAAGATAAGCCCCCAGACTCCAATTGTTACAATTATTTGAGAGGTCCCTGCCTTGTGATTGATGCTAACAGGTGCAAGAGTGGATATTTTGATTCTACCTTGTCAGTCTTGATAAGGTTGCTATGATAGGTGCATTAATAGGAAATAAGTACAGTAGATGTAGTAATAAATTGCTATCCTGACAGATCTGACATATCTCCACCCATGTACTGAAGAAGAGTTGAGAGGTGTGTGTATGATTAGTACTGGTTAAATGGGTGGCATTTGAATTAGCATATTGTGCTGTGGGCGCTTGGAAGCCTCAATCTACTGTAGTAATACTTACCAATTAAATAGCACTTTACATCTTCAAAGCACTTGGGCCACAGGAGATTACATTCATTTTAAAACAATGATAGATTGTCTGTGGTTTGTGTGTGGGACAGGAAGGAAATGCACTTTGCTGACCATCAGTCTTAGCACTAGCTTCGGCTAGGAAGGTACTTCAGTGGGTGGAGCATTTCATAACAGGAGTGTTGTCAAGTGAAGCTAGGTGGGCAGGTGGGAATATTTTGCATGGAATTAATTATATGAAGTGCCCTTTATTATGGTTTAAAGCAATGGGTTCTCAACCTTTTTAAGTTGAGGCACCCCTTGTTAAACTCGAGGCAACTCTAAGAAAATGTCAGTTCTCAGTTTTCACTTGTTTTTGGACTAAGGAAAATAATAGAGCAGTTTTTCTCTTGCAAAGATCTCAGACCATAACAGGTCGGAATTACTTTAACACCATGGAGTCCTACTTGAAATTGTTGGGTTTATCTAATGTATCATGTTTGCCTACCTACCAACATTGCATGACATCCCTGGGCACCCCTGAAAGGATCTCAAGGCACCCTAGCTTGCTATGGCACCCTGGTTGAGAATCACTATTTTAAAGGAGATTAGACAAGCACCTGGCTGGGGTTACTTAACCCCAGCGCTCTTTCCTGCCCAGAGCAGGGGGTTGGACCCAATGATCTAATAGGTCCCTTCCGACCCTAGAAATCTATGTAATCTATGAAAGCCATTTAAGGTCTACAGCCTGTGTAGGCATATACTTAACTTAAGCATATGAGCAGTGCTGTTGATTTCAGTGGGCCTCTCGCATGTTTTCCGGATCAAAGACAATTTTTTTCCATAATATATGTAGAGAATACAATATGTGGAAATAGCTAAGATTCCTAAGGGACACTAATACTTTATTACTGCTTTTTCTTTTCTATTAAGTTTTGTGCGAGTGTTTTGCCAGAAATGACCACCTTGAATTCTGTCTTTTTGTGCGTAGGCCATGCCTGGGTCATCAAGTTCAGCCACGTAATCATACGGATACATTTGTGAAGCTCCTATTAAAACCAGTTAAGTTTCCTTCCCTCACTGTTCCTATTGGAAGGCTGATATAAAACTTCCTTTCTCTGATGGTTTGGAACCTTCTTCTAACTTCTACCCTAAATTTATTTGTACATCACATATACTCATTTGTTCTGCTGTCCTCATGGTCCTTTGGTTTACATAGGTGTTCTCTTACTGTGGAGTTTATCCTCCCCCTTCCTGTGCATTTATGGATAGCAATCCTATTCTCTCTCTCAGATCTCATTTTGCAAGGTTAAACAAAGCAAGCTATTTTAGTCTTTTATGGTAAAATAATCACTCAAGTCTCCTGATGGTCCTAAGAGTCCTTCTCTGCACCTGTTCCAGTTTAATTCATTTCCTGGATGTGGGAGAACAGAATCATCCACAACTTCCAAAGGAGGATTTATTGTATTGCGGCCTTATACAAAATGATTGCTACTATCATCTCTCTCATGGAAACACTTCTCCTGATACATGCTAGAATTGCATTCACCTTTTCATGGCCACACCCTATTGGTTGTTCATAATAATTGATCACCATTTGATCAACTAATACTTTTAGGCTTTTCTTCACCATTGTCATTTCCAGTTGATGAGGCCCCAACTTATGGTGGATAGCTTAAGCATATGCCACTTGAAATCGTATCAGTCAGAACTGACTCTGAAATCTAATTTAGTGCTGGTGAGAACACACTGAAATCATAGAGTCTAGCTAGGGTTTTGAGTGGACTTTGGATCAGATTCATAGTAACCATAAATTAATATTTTGTTGTTGTCACTGGAAGGGAGCCTGACCCGTATAGCATTTTCATCAGCTCAAGTGCTCTACTGACTTGAGAGATCAGCTGTTGAAATAGGAGCCCTTTGGGCTGACTGCTATGTCTACAGCTACAAGTTGAACTGGAAATAACTGATAGGGCTGTGCGAAGCTTCAGGTGGTGATTTGATTCGGAGGAGATTCGGCCCGATTTGGTGGCTGAATCTCCGAATCCAACTCGAATCAGGGAACCAATTAAAAGGTCCAAATCGATTCAAAGCTCTCCGAATCTTTGGAAAAGATTCGGAGAGCTTTGATGATTCGGGCAGTCCCCGGTGGCTGCAGCAGGGAGCCTCAGCTGATTCTGAGCTGGTAAGTACTAGGGGCGGGGAAGGGGACCATGGGGGTTTTAAAGAAAAGCCCCAGTGCTCACCAGGTGTTGCCAGGCGGGGGGACAATCCCTGCTGCCCCCCACTGCCCCACAGTGCATGGGGGGCTCTTCCACAAGCCCCCCAACCCCCCGCACTCTCCCAGCCCCCATGGGTGCCCCGCCCAAGCCAGCTCCAGCCCTTTAAGAAAAGAAAAGGAGAAAAAAAATCCCCAGGACTCACTGGTTCCTGCAGTGGCCTTGGGGCTTTGGGGGCTCATGCAGAGCCCCCCACATGGCATGGGGCAGTGGGGAGGCAGCAGAGATCACCCTTCCTCCCCCACTGGCAGGAACAGTTAGTCTGGGGGGGTTCTTTCTTTTTTTTTTTCTTCTTAAAGGAACGGAGATGGCCCGGGCGAGGCAGCCGTGGGGGGGCTGGGGGAGCAGGAGGGGATCAGGGGGCTCATGCAGAGCCTCCCATGCAGCGGGAGGTAGGATGGGGCAGTGGGGC